CAGTATCCTACGAAATTCTCATAATTATAAGGCATTTCTGAGGAAAAAAATTCACAGCTGCTGAAGCAACTCGTGAAATTATTAAATTTGAAGGGTAAGGTGTCCTTGACCAATGCACTGCGCGCCGTTGTTTTGAAAAATTTAGCAGTGGAGATACGACGTTGGAAAGGAAGAAGAGCTCTGGGCGAACATCTCTACTCTCCACGGGGAAGGTAAAAAAGAGCAGTAGACTGATCCCTCACGAACTTGTTCCTCGGCAATCAGCTAAGAGGTTAAAAATTTATTGAAAACTTTTCTAATGTGAGACTCCTGCCTCACCCATGATATAGTTCAGACCTTGAACCATAGGGTTAGTATTTATTTAGATTCATGGCCTATTTTCTTCAAGTGAAAAATGTTGATTATTATTGGAAGTTGAAACTGCAGTCTACGAGTTCTTAGACAGCCATTCCAAAGAATGGTATCAACATGGGATCGAGCAATTTGCTAGCAGATGGCTGATGACGGTAGATAACAATGAACTATACTTGATTGGATTTTATATCATAGAAATAATAATACAAATATTTGGTTGGAAAACGGTCATTTTTTTTATACACCCTATTAATATTGATATAACTTGTGATGAGATTCATGTTCTCAACTCGTTCCCTTTTAAGCTTAAATATAAAATTTCCCTATTCCCTTACTATTCCGTAAATATTCTAGACTGTTTCCTTTCAGGTTTTAAAGCTGAGTAAGCCTCCTCCTTATTCAGTGCCCATAATTTAATCTGATTCCTGATTACGCTATTTGATATGTTGCAGTATTTTTATACGCCGATTAGAATTATTTATACTGAGCCATACTTTGCTAGAGCGCCCGAAGTCTCATCCCAATTGCCTTCGTTCCCTTCAGGTCCCGACGTGGACTTTAGGGTAAGCTTGTCAGTTGTTTGAGGACATCTCGTTTGAGGATGCAGTATGTCCTGTACATTTTTATCTTACTTTAACGGTATGATTTTAATTTTTTTTTCATTCTAATTCAGGATATCATTAAACTCCCAAGCGTCCACAAAACGCTTACACAGGGCGAGGACAAAATCATTCGTCATGTTCCTGTGGTGGAGAAGGTGACGAGGAACGTGGTGGAGTGCCGTACCCGGCACATCCCCGTCATCAGGCACAGGTTCCGGACCGTCGAGGAGAAGTACACGGAGCACATACCTGTCACCCAGACCATCACGAGGCCGGTGGTGGACACCATCGTGAAGCAGGTACCAGTCATCGAGGCCAAGAAACGAGGACATCCTCTAAGGATCAAGCCTATACCTATACCTGCAGAACAGAGAGTGGTGAATGAGTTGTTCAAGATGAGGCAGAACCCAATCTTCAGGCAAGGAACTTCCGGGATGAGCTGCCTATATCCTCAACTGTATAATCAAGCGTACGCACCTTTCTTACAAAACTGCGCTCGTTGGAATCTAAAAACCTAGTACTTAATTATTTTATATTTTACAGTGATAATTCAAAGACAGTTGGAAAGTTTCAAATTGGCCATCTAAACTAAAAAAATAACAATTGATTTAATTTAAAAAAAAAGAAATACACGAAAATATTCTGTAAAACTATAATATAGCAACATCAGAAATATTTTTAATATATAATGATGAACACAATCATCAATGAAAATTTGTGAATACAAATTGAAAACACTTTTCTGGAATTGTTGTTTTATGTGAACGAAAAAAAATCACAAGATTCAGAAAAAGATTCTAATAATGGAATAGTTGATAGATCAATTGTAAGCACATAAATAATGACTGTTCGCATCTTCACGCTTAACAAGTCAGAAGTACGAGGCATTTAGTAATTTAATTACTTGTAACTTTATTATAAAATGTATGATAAATAAAACATGTATTAATTTAATTTATGTATTTTTTTATATTACTTATTTATTGATATTTATAATAAATTCAATTTTCTAAAAAAAATATTTTTGATTTTAACCCACTCCAAAATAATTTAATTTGTACATTAATTTTTTTTTACCTTAGCGATTTTTTCAAGATGGCAACGATTGAAAACATAAAGGGTTAGGCGATCATTACATGCATACAACATACATTTAAATCAGAATTGTTCTAATTTTTACCAATCAATCTGGCTTTTGGAGCAAGCGTTTTTATTTGGGATGGGATAGCTCAGTGAGTAGTGCATACTTTTTCTATACTCCAGGTCTCGGGATACCATTAAATAACGAATTGATTGTCAGTCTGTCTGTCTGTGGCAAGATTCCCGGGAATCAGTGGACCGATTTTGTTGCTTTTTTTTTATTTTGTAGGGTTTTGACTTCTGATGTCTGTGACAGAAATTGGATGATCCATGCGCAACAGCTGCAGCGCAATAAATTAAAAACATGTTTTCCTATGGAATGTAGCGCGAAAACGGCTGTAACGATTTTGATGAAACTCTCCTATGATGTTCTAATAATTATCCTTTCAATTTTTGTACAATAATATTAAATGGTATTGAAATTTTTACACTGATCTACCTTAAGCCGGTTTACATTGCTTTAGTTTATCAAATAAATAGTACTCAATTCTTTTCTTTGATCAGTTTTCAGGAACATAAATCTTATTCAATTTTTTTTTTCTTGATGGACATATGTAAAGATATAAAACCTTTTCTGAAATAGGTGCGAAAGTCGTGTGAGTGGACACACCAAATTTTTTACAAATGTTGTCAAAATAAAAACTTTTTCTGTTTGGAATAAAAAAAATAAGTTTAATGAAAGGGTCATAATGATAAATTATTTTCATAGAGATATTTGTAAATCATTCTTTTGAAGAATTGATTTTAACTTATGTAATGTTGATCAAACAAATTACATAAGCAAAATATAATTTAACAGAGTTGCTAGAAAAAATGTGCTTATGCTAGTAATTATTTAGAAAAACACCAATTATTAACACACCATAGAGGAACTGCAAAACATTAAACTCTTAGAATATATATATATATATATATATATATATATATATATATATATATATATATATATATATATATATATATAAATTAATTAATTATTATAAATGTAAATCAATAAATATCACAAGGAATGAGCCAGTACATCTCTCTGAAAAGTTAAATATCATTTCATTATGATTGGGTATAATTTGTACAGTTTCCAAAATTTATATTTATAATAATAATAATTAACAGAATGTTGTCTAGATATTTTACTGATGAATTAGATTAATGTGATTATGAGTTTATTGTCATATTAAACTAAGAGTTTTTGAAATAATTAACTAAGTCATCTAATTAATCTAAGTCATATAATGCTGATCAAGCAATTACATAAGCAAAATATAATTTAACTGAGTTGCTAGGAAAAAATATGATTATGCTAGTATTTCAGGAAAACACCGTTTGTAAACACACATGAAAAAACTGTAAAACGTAAACCACTATTAAAAAAATATGTAAATAAGTAAATTATCATTAACATATAGATATATATATATATATGTGTGTGTATGTATGTATATAAGAATGTGAGTGTTTGTATACGTATGTATCTATCAATACATAGCAACTGCCCATCTTATTTGTATCGCAACATTCCGATCTGATAAGAAGGTCAATGCCACATTAAATTTCAGATATTACTTAATTTAAGGATTTTCTCCTATAATCAATTCGTGAAATAAAAAAATTATTATTCTGGAAAAGATTTTAATTATTGAAAGCACGACTATGGCTAGAGACATTAACCTTATTAATAGAAATATATATTTTTTTAAAATAAGTTCAATGAGAGCAATGTAAGGCGAAAAAAATGATCATACTCTGGACCTAAATCTGATTGAAATAATATTTCTAAATAAAATTAACCATTAATTGAGGCTCTCAGTTGACAAAATGACTGACTCCAATTTCAAAATTTTTGTTAAACTCATTTTAGTGATATTTCTAATCTGAAAATTTATTTTATATGTACATACAGTGAGTAAGTTGATTCCAGTGTAGGTGATTTTTGTGTTGAAATATAGAACTGAGAATAAAGGTATACATTTTCTAACTAGACATATCACTGAAATTAATAATTTAAAATATTGAACTTGGAGTTAGCCATTCTGTCAACTAAAAGGCTTAATTTATATGATTATGACGCACATAGGAAGACTGAATATATATCTTTAATTTCTCTAATTCCTGTCACCGAAGAAGAAATTTACTTGTCATGGTACATATGGTTGATATGGTATGACAATTTACTTACATCAAGGCTTTGATGACATGAACATAGATGGATTTATTTTTAATTTATTCTGAAAGAATTAGTGAATCGGTTATCCGAAAAAAATAAGACAAAGAGATGAATACATACTTGTAAATATAGGCGGTGTGATGATATGGGATAAATAATTGAGTACGATATGTTCATGACCCCCATGATCAAATTCCGGTCGTACTCAGGCGAATTTGTTAATTTTTTTCTCGGAAAAACCCATCTTTTAATAATTTCCTTCTCATATATTACCAGGTAGCATAAGATGAAGCGTAACTTACTGAGTTTAACATGTAACTAAACAGTTAAACTGAAGAATTCAATGTCATAGCACGTATTCCAGCGATTAAGATATCTAACCTCTAAAACGGCGTGCTTCCTAGAACCTTATAGAATTGATAATGTACTGGAAGGATACCTTGCAAGGTCAAACACCCCGTTTAATCAACATTTTTATTTAATCTTATTTGAAACATGATGTATTTCCCATATTTTTTTATAGTTATTTATTTTTAAAAATAAATCTTACTAATGCGTTAACTTATTTGAGTATGAAAACTTATGTTTATTGATATATATTTTTTTTGCCGACTAATTGAAAGTGTTTAATTCACCTGATTAAGCTGGAAACGTGATCGCTCATAATCTCTACTTCCATTGTCAAACTGATTCATGAAACCACTTTATCGACGTTTTGGAAATGTTATCGAAAAATTTCCTTCTATTTAAAAAGTCCTACGGGCTAGCGAAAGTCAGATTGGAAAGGGACATTCAGCCATGTTCTTCCTCGCAGCTTCTTTTCTTGTACTCGGGATCTCTGTAAGTCACACAAATTATTATTAAAATAATAACCATAATAAAAAACCAATACCATATTACTAAAAGTAGTAAATTTTTTATAGCTATTTAATAAATACATTCACGAATTTTTCAGCTTAATGTGATACTTAATGTTAATGAAATACTTAATGTTTAGGTGCTATTTAAACAATTACAGTAATGGATATTTATATCCAATTTTACTTTTTTTAAAAAAACCAATTGCCTGCACAAATTAGTATTCCGGAAAGTTAAGGAAGATGGCCAGGTAATATTTTATTATTGAAAATATATATTAATTGGACCTGTATAAATTATTATTTAAATATTTTAATGCATATAATTTATAAATTAAATTAAATTAAAATATTTGATAAAATTAAATCACAAAATAGTATGTGGTGAGTCTATTCCAGAAATCGTTATGGCATGGATTATGATTTTCTATAAGAAATATGCTAAAATGTAGTTAATAAAATAAATTATTTTTTTAATATATATTTTTTCATACTCCTATATAATATTCTCTATTACAAATATTGCAGTGAGTTTCTTTTGTTCGTAATTTTTTTTGTGATTCGCTATTGTTTATATACTTCCAAAATATTATTCTATTATATAAATATTGAAATTAATAATAAATAATAAGTTATTTAACGTACTGATAACGTAGCAATATTTTTAAACCAGTCTTCGATAAGCACTGCTTTCTAATACCATAGTTTCGGTTAATGGCATTTATGATGCATTTTTATTTTACCAACACTCAAAATGTTTAAAAGAATTGCATTAGAAAGGAAGCCTGTTGCGCGCTACAGGTAGAACTGAACGGTTAAAATCTTTATTCTATTGTTGCCGCACGTTTTTATCAGAGTAGATAATTTTATTCACAATCTTTTTCCTTCCTTGAAATTTACAACATAGATAAAAAAAATACAAATTAAGCTTAAGAAGGTGAAAAACCTTTTTTTATGTGCAAACATTAATTTTTTTTTTTAATAGTGATAAAATACAAACGAAGCTTGAATCGTAGGCATTAGGCTAGTATATATCATCCAAGAGTCTTAATTATATACATAAATATATATAGATTAATTTGATTAGTTAGTAATACTTTTCAATTCTTTTAACTAAACAAAACTTGTACCTGGATATTTTTACTGTGATAATTCTTTCTCAAAATCGGTTAGCTTTCAAAAAATAGACTTTCGATATCTACATATATATCTTTCTAAAATAACTTATTTCAAATTCATTTATTTTCATATTTCTAAATTTGATTGAACAATTTTGAAGTGAGTTATGTGAACTACTCCCACTCATAAAATACACCAATATCATTTATATTTATTTTATGTGATCAGGTAATTATGGATTCCCTATAAAAATTACTAAAGTTATTATTAAACTATACTTTCATATCAGTTAATCAATTGCTCGTTTTATAAGTTGATGTGATTTATTTTTAAAATCCAATTTGATTGATCTCATACTTCCAACATGTAGGATGATATATTTAGGATGAGGTGCGGGGATTTGGTTTTAGACATTTAAATATCGAAAGTAATGTGGCATCTGAAGATTTTATAATTCAGGGCTATTGTTGTATCCTAACATGATAATTTTTGTTTCTTCCAGGCATCCTCAGGATCTCCTTGCATCTACCCCGGCTCTGACTGCTGTTGGCAGCCATCTTGCGGGCCAATCTGTCAACCACTCTGTCAGCCAGCTTGCGGGCCAATCTGTCAGCCCTCTTGTCAGGTAGAAACCTGCGTCAGGCCCATCGTCTCTGAGTCCGTCAGCTGCCAGCCTGTCGTCAACAAGAGGGTCAGCTGCAGGGAGGAGTGCCACGTTCGCCACGTTCCTGTCGTCCAGAACCACGTTTCTTGCCAGGAAGAATGCTGCACCCGCCACGTTCCCGTTGTACAGAAATACTGCAGGCCCGTCGTCGAATGCAGGACCCGCCATATCCCCATCTGCAAGCAGCGTTGCCGCACTGTAGTCGAACCCTACACTGAACACGTCCCAATCACCGAAAAATGCATCCGTTGTGTCGAAGAAACTTGCACCAAGCATGTCCCAATCACTGAACGTCGCTGCCGCCCAGTCTGCCACCAATCTGTCCATCATGTCCCAGTCACCGAGCGCAGGTGCAGGCCCGTCGTAGAAACTCAAGTTTCCTGCGTCCCAGTCAGGCACCAGCAAGTACACAACGTTGTTGAGCAGAGGCTTGTCCCAGGCTGCTCCTGCGGTTGCTCTTCCCCACTTCCATGCTCCTGCGGTTGCTCTGCCCCACTCCCATGCTCCTGCGGCTGCTCTGCCCCACTCCCATGCTCCTGCGGATGTTCTGCCCCAATCTCATGCTGTGACCCATGCCCATCCCCATGCCTTCCAGCCTGCAACCCATGCCCATCCCCATGCCTTCCAGTCTGTGACCCATGCCCATCTCCATGCTCCATCCCATGCCATGCTCCATCATGCGGTTGCTGGTGAAAACTTAACTTCTAGTCTGTAGACTTGTTATTGTTGGATTTTTTACTTATATAATATTTAAATAAAATCTGTTAACTCTTTAAAACATGTCTTATTATTCATATCTAATTCTTTAATCGCATTATGTAAATTATTAATGTTTCAACCATTGTACCTTATAGGTTCCTACGTAGTCACAAGTAATCACTCATGAAGGACCAGTTCAAATGCAGTGTTCGTACTACATTATAATATTGACTTTTCCATCTTATATACAAGTAATTCTGATGGAAAATCATTATATGTTAACTCCGTATTATAGATCCCATTTCTGGCTTTTAGAAGCGATGAATTTAGACAAGCAGAGTATCAAAAGAAACGGAATTTCATGGAGAAGTGACGAGGAACGTGAAACATATTGTTTAGGTTTCAGTTTTTGATGAAGATAACATATATTATTTCTTATGCCCAGTTAAAAACAATCTTATTTATGAATATTACAAAGATAAAATGGTACAAAACAGATTTTGTCGTTTAGCACAAAACCAATAGGTCTCTGTGAGTAGAAGAATGGGCCGTCAGAACTTTACAGATTGCTCAATCTTATTGCATTTGTTGAGCGCATTAAGTCTTCGCTGATCCTAGTATGGAGAGAATGAGACTTGTATGCTGGATCTGCATTAGAAAGATTGAATTTAATTTAATTGAATGGATCAAAATGTGTTTAGAATGATTTGATTAAAAGAAAAATGGAATGTAAAATAATCGTAATATATTATTATTGTTGGAGGAGAGAGGGGTGTACCAAAACTATTTCGCATTGATATTAACTAGTTAGTAATATTGGTATATCGGCGTTGTAGATTATGATAAAGTCTTTTTTTCTAATTTCATCTTAAAGCACTGCTTCTTGAGGCTTTGTTTTGTTTTTTTGTCGTCAGCTGTTTTTCCTGCTGCTTGCTGCCATCCTTCCTGGGTCTCCCTTGCCACTTTGTTCTAGTCTGGCCAGACATAGCTGTTGGGCTAACATACAAAGAAAGTTATATATATACCGTATTATAATCCTTATGAGCGGAGAATCTGTGGTCACTTTGGGCTCAGATTGTTTTTTGTTTACTCCTCTCCGCCGATAGATGGCACTGCCTCTACGTCGTCCAATAGATAGCGCTGCTGCCGTGGCCTTATATTAATTGATGAATAAGAAGATGACCTCGAGCAAGCTAATAACTTATATTAAGTAGTGTTACTTCAATATAGAAATGGCAAGTGACTTTTTTACAAGTGGCAGAAATATTTTTAGATGAAAACATGAAAAAATCAAGTGGGTGGAATTTTTTGCCTGTCAGTGTATATATATATTATATGGAATATAAAGATTGATTATCTTCTAATTATTGAAATGGCTCCATGATGTTAAGAGGGACAACGTATTTAAGGCTTAGGAACTTGTTCCAACCTGTCCTTGTTACAACCTGTTTAATTGCAAAAGATTCCTTAATTCTAGGAAGATCCAAGAATATTTTTGGAGTATACCAAAACACAATGTTAATTGGGATATTTTATTTCATTTCGGCTGCACATTAATCACATAAAAAAATCAGAAGAGCATAGTTTCTGCAAAACATAGATATAAAAATAATTGATATTACCCTAAGGAAACTTAATTTAAGTAAACTATTAGAGATCGCTTTTGCCATGTTGCATATTGAGCCAGCGATCTGGATTATTCGCGAGAGACAACTCACTGATCACCTCACCGGAAACTAATTAGGTTTATAAAAAAAAAAATGACTGTTTTATCAACTTTAAGATTTCAAATGACTGTAAATATTTTAACCCTATTTAATTATTACCAATACTTCATAATCCCTTCAGAGCATTCTCTAAGCTTGTTTAATCCCATTTAACTTCTTCAAAAAAGTCTCAGTTTAGTCATTTGACAGTATCCTACGAAATTCTCGTAATTTTAAGGCATTACTGGAAAAACAAAATTCACAGCTGCTGAAATAACTAGTGAAATTATTAAATCTAAAGGGTAAGGTGTCCTTGACCAGCGCACTGCGCGGCGTTAGTTTGAAAAATGTAACAGTGGAGATACGAAGTTGGAAAGGAATAAGGGCTCCGGGCGATCATTAATGCATATTGATGAGGTTCTGCAGGAAGCTGTTGAGTCAAATCCTTCCACAAGTACTCGCGAACTTGCCCGGGTGTGTGGGAAAAAGAGCAGTAGACTGGTTCCTTACGAACATACCTCGGTAATCAGCTAAGAGGTTAGAAATTAGTGAAAATTTACTTATGCTGGTTTGAGTTTTTACCGGTTTGAGATTGTCACCTCTGATGAAAAATGGGTTTACTGGCGAAATCCGAATACCCATGAGCAATAGTTAGATCGTGGTCAAACTGATTTTCCTGTTGGTGCAAGGGGACAATTAAAAAAAAAAAAAACCTTTTTTGTTTTGTTTTTTATTGGTGTTATTCATTACGGATTAGTTTCTGGTGGATGCTTTATGAATCCTGAACTCTACTGTGAACAACTGGAAAGATTGTCAGAGCGTTATTCTGCTTTGATCAACTGAAAAGTAATTTTATTCCAACAAGATACTGCTCGTCCTCACACTTTCAGTCGAACCAAAGAAAAGTTCAAAGACCTTCAGAGGTTCGAACGCCTTCTCATCCACCATATAGCCCATACCTCGTACAATCGGATTACTACTTAATTAGATCCATGGCTAATTTTCTTCAAGGAAAAAATTTGATAATTTTGTGGAAGTTTAAATTGCGCTCCAAGAGTTCTTTCACTGCCATCCCAAAGAATTGTATCAGCATGGGATCGAGCAATTGGTAAGCAGATGGCTAATGAGATAGAGAACGATGTACTATACTTTGAGTATTAATTGTATTTTATATCAAAGAAATAATAATACAAATATTTGGTTAAAAAACGTTGTTGTTTTTTTATATGCTTTGGTTTTCAAGAGCTCTTTTTTTAAAATTATTATTATTTGATTATTTTCTACTTATGGCATATTGCTGCGGGGGTTGTTGTTGTAATATCCCAACCAAACCTATTATTACCATAGTAGAAAGATCGAGATTCATTCGGTGGGTCCGAAACGAAATAAATTTCAACCTATTTATGCCGGATTCGAACAGTTGTTTATTCCTCGTTGCTATTGTGTCAAAATTATTTGCTTATGCATTATTTTATCTTTCAACAACTTTCGCATTGAAGGTTCATATGGCTTGGAATTTCTTTTTTTATATAAACCAGTCATCCTGTATATCTTCATCTAATATTGGACAATTTTCACACGTTTCAGAAATATTATCAGACAATTTTTATGAATCTGCTAAAGAATTGAGAAATATTTGATGACTCTTTCACAAATTAATGGACTGTCTGAGGACCTTTGATTATGACCATAGTACAAAAATTTAAATTTTTATTAGTGGTTTATGAGATGATATATGAGTTTCATTGTCAATCCACATCCTTCTCTTATTTCGCGACTACAAGCGGCTAACTTTATAAAAAAAAAATATTTCACGAATAAAACATGTCAGCGCCATTCGATTTAAATGTTGTAGTATTTTACTCAATAAGCTCTCTTAGCCAACTTCTTTTCACTCTTCCTAACATAAACTTAGTGTTCGTTATAATTTTTGTTGTGATGTCCTTAAAGTTAGTCTGCAATTTTTGGCATGAAGCATGAGTATCTTATGCTGAAAATAAATTTGTGTTTTATGGTTTGATAATAGCATACCATGATGAACGTGATATGATGTATAGATTTTGAAACTTGTATAAGAGTGCTATGTTTTTCACCGGTTAGAGTTCTGGACTGAAAATAATAAGACTTCTTAAGGGTGAAGAAAGTTAAACGGGGGCTTACTGATTTCATTTATTTTAAAGATGACAATCTAATATTACAGAATATGACACATAACCTGAACGTGATTTTGACTCTTACGTCTCAAACATTAATGCTTATCTTCCATAATTTAAACGAGATATTGCGATTTTGCAACGAGAATGATGTATGAGATCAGACAGTGTTCATTTCAAACATTTTTTTTTTTATTTTTATTTCTTTAATGAAGTAAAATGATTGAGTGTGTAATTAATGTTGGATGGTTCAGCCACCCCATTTATTATATAAACATCTTGTTAGGAAGAAAAGTATGCCATTGATGGAACATTGTAATTTCCCATTGCTGAGTGTACTCATCATAAAAATATGGTCCATAACTCAGTGAATCAACTCATTTGAGTCGAGCTAACCATGTATTCGTTGAAATTACTGATTTTTACCATGCGCCATTAAAAGCTCAGCCTAAAATAATTAATTATATGGAATATTGTTGGGATTTATTATAAATAATTTGTTATATTGAACTCAATCATACTTTTTATTAATTTTTAGGAGTTAAGGAGTAGGTAGAGGGATATAAGTTTATTATATAAATTAACTAATTAGGTCACAATAAACATTAATAATACTTATAACTAGCAAAACATGAAATTTTACTAAATTATATCATTACTACATCGCTATAATATCAGGAAGGATATGAGGCTGATTTGGTCAACACCAGCAATCATTTGGTAACATCTGGATGGGTAGGCCTTGGCAAGGGTACGGTTTAGGGCAGTGGACACAGCAGCACTTGGTCATGATTGGTTCTATACACTCCAGTTCTGGGGGGAGCACAGTTGAAGTTATCTTCGTAGTGTAGGGGTCGCAATGAACTAAAGAGGGGCAGGGTATCCTTTTGTGGAGCCCCATGGGGACGTGCTTCATGTGACTCGGGAGGCAATTCATCGTGGACTGGATGTCTGTGCAATCATCCTGGTTGAAAGGGTTCATCACCATCTTGTTGATGCGGCAACATTCCCCCTGCAAAGAGAAAATTGAATATTGCCTGTTTTTTACAAAATTAAATACCTTTATTTAAAATTATGCCAAGAATTAGTTTCGAATTGCTACTGCAAGATAGCGGTTGGTTTCAAGTATCTTTGAGTACAATGTAGATGGAATCCCGGAACAATCCAAGTGTATCCGAAAGTTGACGTAAGCGAGAGATCTCCAACCTTACCTTGCAGATTATTAACGTCTGTTCATTATAAATCACCTTACGTCACAATTAAAATTATACTAATGTATCGTTTTATCTAAATAAACATTATTTTTATTTTTTTTACCAACGATAACCTATACCTCCTTTATTAATTCAAATTATTAAGTGGCATATATAATTACAACGCTAGAGTCCATATAATGTTGGCTAAATTGAAACACTGATTTGATCAAAATTAAATTTTTATTCTAAACGCACTTCTGCATATCCTACACCGTATGAATAATATAACAATTTTATGCATTATTTATAATCAAGTGAGTTTTTCCATACTCCGAAAAAAAAAATCCTTCTTTCTGTCCTACATAACTTCCTTTATTTTTTCACATTTAAGGCAATGATATTTCCAATTTTTTTCAAATCCCTTTAATCACATTTATTATCTCTAAGGTTTCGGGACAATTTTCCCATCATCAGAGCAATCCTTATCTTCACTGAAACTATGCACATTTTAAATAAACTATTTTTACAGTACCAATCTATTTCATCTATTGTACAATTATTTACCTTGATTTTTTGATGTGGCACCAAAAATTCAAATATTTGTCACATTCATTTTTTTTTTTTTTTTTTTTTTTTTTTTTTTTTTTTTTTTTTTTTTTTTTTTTTTTTTTTTTTTTTTTTTTTTTTTTTTTTTTTTTTTTTTTTGTGCTACACATCCACATTGGGAAAAATTGTCCCGAAACATTAGATATAATAAATGTGATTAAAGGGGTTTGAAGGAAATTATAAACGTAGGCTTCCTAAAAAAGAAAAATAAGAAGATGTGAATGTGAATTCTAGGCAAAAAGATGTTAAGATATATTTGTCATACTTCTGGCATTTCTTGGGATTCCACCATTCATTGTACTCCAAGTGACTTGGAAAATTAGTAAGTATTAAACTAATAGCAAATTAACGCAGACTTGGGGTGCCCATTCCCCCTAAGGCCCTAAACCTTTCTCCATCCCTCCCATGATATTTTATTCCTCTCTCTTCTTAAAAACATTGCAAACGAAAGTTGAATTTAAATATTTGTAGATTATATACAATCACACATACTGCGGTCTGTTCCATGCTTCTACTTGTCTTTTTATTTGAAACTTTTCACTTTGAAAATTCACAAACTCATCGAAATGTGGCTCCCTCAAAAATTGAAAACCCCGTCAAAAAGTGTCCTCTTTATAAATTTTGATGGCACAACTTCTGGGCACCCCTGACGCAGACATGTACCTTATATTTTTTTAACGTAGTTTTTAACGTACGCAATCATATAGATATCATTTGTAGATTTTTTTCTGCAATTTTTCTTAAATTATTTGATTAATTGATCTAGCTTAGTTTTCTACTTATTATTATTCTACTTATTTTCTATAATATTATTATCATCCAATGTTAATATTCTATCTGGTTTTATTTCTTAATTGCGTGTTTCAGTTCAGTTCAATAAATAAATAACATTTTATTTCCTGTGACCAAAGAAGGCTAGATACGCCAAATTTTACTAAATAAAATAGTTATAATTATTGAATAATTAATCAAGTTACTAAGTAATCCATCGCGTAATGATGGATTAATCAACCAATTACAAGTTAATAAACAAATTTTATAATTTATTAATTAGTTGATTTATATTAAACCAATAATTTATTTATTAGTTAACTTAAAATCAATAAATATTTTTAATAATATAGACTAAAAATTAATATTATTCAGATAAAATTAAAATAATAAATTGAAAAGCGTAATCAAGTGTTCTACCGTCTTATGCATTTTTTTTCGATTAAATTTTGGTTGATAAAATTTTTTTTTTCTTTATGCTCTTCGCTATACCTATTTATGAGAATAAGAGATATTTTAAGTTTAGAATAAGAATTAATTTAAAGAAAATCATAAGTGCCAAATATTAATAATTTTTTATTGAAGGAATAATAATTATACGTTTATCAAAATTTCTGATATCAACGATAAAGACTGTTCAGCATTTTTTTATTTATTGGTTGGTATAAAATTCTGTCAAATATTTTAATATAAAATTGGACAATAGTTATATAGTGAGGTAAGAGCTTATTCATATATATATACATAAAAATATCACGTTAAGCATAATAAATTTTAAAACACTCCAATTTTTTTACCATTTTTTTCTGATCTTCTTAGGTGTTTCTCTTGGAACTTAAAACCTCAAATTTGGGAGGGGTTTATTTATTTCTTGAATGACTATTAAAAAAATAGAAAATAATAAATAAAAATGCGTAAGATTATTTTATCCTTTATTTTTATTCTTTACTTCTAATATAATCCTAGTTTTATTGGAAATTATACAATAAAGCCAAATTTTTTTTATTTCGACGTATTTCAAAGGCCAAGTAAATTGGTGTCAGTAGTAAATTTCAAGATACATATGTGCATTACTTATTGCAAGTATTAATAAATCGTATTATTTATTTTTAAACATTAATCTAAGTTTAAATAGATGCGAGTTTATAATTAATTATTACCTGAAAGGTGATGAAGGATAGAAGAAAGATACAAGAAAAAGCGATCATTCTTGGAGAGCGGTTTTGCGAAACAGAAAGAAATTTCCTGAAACCTCTCAATTTTAAGTATTTTATATTTTTCGAATTTTTTCATAAGCGTCACGTATCTCACGTAGCCAAAGATTTACGTAAAACCTCCAAAATCAGTGTTGACGCTTCTGGCCTGCTTCATAGACAAATTTTATTAAAACAGATATTGTACCAAGACAATAGTTTACTTTTCTTTTACTGTCAATTATACCTATATTATCTCAATAAGAGAACGATATAAACTATTAGATATGATTATTAACTTAGACCATAATAACATAGTGCGTTGATGCCATTTTCATCCTAACCGCTTTGTTATCAACTGGAACAATCGTTCATTTTGAAAGTGGTATATGTCCATTTTATCTTGTTTCGAGACAAGTAAAGGTTTGCAAATCTGTCAATTAAAAAATTTAACTTAATCATAAAATGTCTGGCAATGTTTCTACTGATTTATCATTATGTAATTTGATTATATAAATTTATTTTAGGCGAATTTAAGTAAAATAATATATATTTACTGGCTGCAAATGGACTTACATCACTATCAAAATTATTCAATTGTAAAAATCGTTTAATTTCAATTTTGAAAAATCGAATATCACTTAAAATATATTTTATATTGATCCAATTACGATTACAAATTATAACAAGATAAAAAATAGAAGTAGTATTTTTAATTTTAAACGTTAATTATATTGCGCATTATATTTTATTCACAATACACAATTATATTGTGTATATATTATATTAATTATATTGTTAAAATTAACATTAGATATTGGTAGTATTTATTTATGCTCTTCATGTAACAGTGTTTTGAAATATTCGTGATACACAGAAGGTATATAGGGTAATAACTGCTACATATATGTTTCATAAGTTATAGGAATCGTTATACACGCGCCAGAACGATTTTTTTCATATTCGGGCGTTCTTCTCAAACGTGTAGGTAATACATTTGAATTCTTTGTCCTCCATCGATATTTTATATAAAATGGTGTATGGTACTTCATGGACGGAACTATTGTTCATGGAAATTGGAATTATGCCATTTTCATAATCGATGGTTACGCAACTTCTTTTACCGGTAAATTTTAAATTTTACTAATCATAGACATTTTTCAGGCATTAAATACTTACTTGTTTTAAATAAAAACTTCTAAATTAAAAACACTAAATTAAGTATAAATTACGTGATATCTATTATTTTTTAAAAAATGGACTTACACCATTTTCAAAATAAACGGTCCAATTAATACGGACAACCTAAGTAAGTAATTTCAAAAATAATAAATTTTATGATATTAAAAGAAACAAATGAAAATTTTCAATTTAAATTTTAGTGAAAGACTTTCATAATAAAGAAAATATGATTTATTTTATTGTTTTCAAATTATAAATTGTTCGTTAGTTAACTTTTTCCTTTCCTTACAAATTTAAGCATATTTTTAAGTATTAAGTAGAAAATTATATATATATATATATATATATATATATATATATATATATATATATATATATATATATATATATATACCAGTCAAAAAAATAAATACGATTCCCCCACCGACCCCTTTCTTTTACCTTGTTCTTTTAAACTTATATATTTTTAGTGTTTAAAATTAATACGATCCTGCCAGAATCCGAACCTTACACCAATTTAAAAATAAACACCCAATTAATACGAACAATCTAAGTTAAGTAATTTCTAAAATAATACGAAATTATAATACCACAACAACCGACTCCTCCCTTTTCACCTTGTTATTTAATAATTAAATATTTTTAGTTAATAAAATTAATACGACCCTGCCAGGATTCGAACCTGGAATCTTCTGATCCGTAGTCAGACGCGTTATCCGTTGCGCCACAGGGCCCACATGTGGACTTAGAAACTTAGAGATAACAAGAATTAATTCATAATGAGTTCTTAATTAGTTTTAATTATTTAAATCTTTACATAAGCAGAAAGCGGTGACTGGCGAATATTTTTCGGATGTTAGAAACAAAAAAAGATACTGATTAAATAATATGATGTCAGAATAATTTTACAATAATTAATATAAACATAATGCAGCAATTAAATATTATGATAATTATAGTAGTATAGTATTTGGAGTTAGTATGGTATAATATGCCGAGCCCTGTAAAGATACCTATAATTTCATATTTTATTTCTGCCATTTTCCGTAATACCGGACTATTTATTGCAGTTGGAGACTACAAAATGCTACCTTTAGCACAAATCGAATAACCATGTAAAATTGTTACATACGAGACCTTTTGTACTAAAAATAGCGACATGTTGTAATTTTTAAGTTTTATTTTATGTGGCGTTACAGTAATATAAATACATTTATTAGTCTGATACTACTTTAACCAAAATAAAAATTATATTTTGATATTTGTAGCTTCGATACTCTATGGTGTTGTTCCACGCAGTGGAGGATCCACTGGAAGGGCAAAACGATGGATTTTCCCAAAATAATTCCAAAAATCTGGTGTGTCCACTCACCTATTCCTACCTATTTCAGAAAAGTTTTTATTTCTTTACATATGTCCATCAAGAAACAAAAAAAAAAACATTGAATTAGATTTATTTTCCTGAAAATTGATTAAAGAAAAGATTTGAGTACAATTTATTTGATAAACTAAAGCAATGTAAACCGGCTTAAGGTAGATCAGTGTAAAAATTTCAATACCCTCTAATATTGCTGATCAAAAACCCGATCGCAATACTTTAGTATAGGTAGGAAAGTAATAAATAAAATATGTGAAGAAAATAGAATACGCAGTATCATCGCTAATACTGGTTCGATTCCAATGAATTTTTTTTTTTTTTGTTGGTAATTTAATTATCTTTCAAATGTTTTCTTATAAATTTTGCCAAAGAATATATACTTAGCGAGTTGGGTCCCAATACATTTTTCTTTTCTTTATAAATTTTTTCCTGAATACTTTCCTTGCCTAGTATAGGTATAAAAGTAAAAAAAAAAAAAAATACGACTGCTTATTATATACTTAGCAGTACGAAACTAGTGTGTTCATTAGATAGGAGAAATTTAAAAAAAAAGTACCTACCTTAGAAAAAATCGTTTGTTGTAGATGCATCAATGAGATCAATTAATTACTTTACCTAAACCTATGATCATTTACTTTATATAGTTCTACATTTAGAATAGTGAGATAGATAATCTATTTATTAGATTTTTTTCCACAGTAATAGTAATGTTTTTCTAAATATTTGACAAGTGAAATTGACTAAAGTTTTTAAATATTTGATTTATTGAAATTTACAACTGTATTCAAGTTAAAAAACAAAATAACTATGAAACAATGAATTGAAAAAAAATACTTGTATAGTATAACTACCTATTGGTAACACTCCGATAACTGTTAATTATTAGAAGATTATATTCTTTCCATTGCCCTATGAAAGTTATGCATAACTGAAGAAAAAACTATTGGTTTTAGATGAGTATAGAATTTATTATAAAAGTCTAGGTATCTGGTTAAGCCAACCCGGCAGTTAGTTCACTTCAACAACGTCTGATTACTAGTAATTCCCTTCTGGATTGGCTTGGGGTGGGTGTGAGGGTTTATTTTTCAGCTCATAAACAGAGTAACGTAAAGAAAATATATTCCAAAACAAAAATTAAAGTTTAAATTTCTTTCATAATTGTGCTCCATTTTTGTACATTGCTACATCTTATGGTTTTCCAGATATCCACTGGCAAAAATGGATTATCTTTAAAAAGAAGTAATTTTGAATTTTATTTTTAGTAAACCTTGCTCGTTTTTCACTCTCTATTTTTTTTCACTTCAGAAACATCGTCAGGGTGAATGTTATAGACCATTAATTTTTTTTTCAGATATGAATCGATACATTTATGTTAACCCTGCAGCTTTAACTCTATTCTTCATGGTTTGTGATTTGTGATTGAATAATTTACTATACAAAAATAGCTCATTAATTAGAAAACATATGTCATGATTTTTCGTGATGATGAAAACGTTATGATGAGTTTGGAAATATACACTGTACAAAGTGAGACCAACGATGCTACCATGAGGGACACCAGCTGACTAGTCTGTGAGGTCGGAACGGTAATGAGAAAATGTTTAAGGGATAGGTACAATATTTATGGAATTCGCAAAGCAATATTAATTGTCAGACTAGATGAAAAAAATATATTCAAACAATATCACCTTTGCTGTGGATTGTCTATAAGGATTTTTCTTTTAAATCAATCATTTCCTTTTTTATATTAATTAACAAAGTACAAAATAAAAAATAAAAATTATATAGTATATATTTCTTCCTCAATCTAAATGTTTCCAAAAAATTTGTTTAAATTGTTAAAAATACTAATCAGTCCTATTGAAAAAGATCTATGGGTATCTTCAATTAAGAATTTGTTAATTCGACCAATCCATCGTTTTTTTTCCTTTGACGAGGTGTCTTGCAAACTATCCAGTCATTCATTGTTGTGTAGAGACTTCATGATGGATTGCTCAAAGCTACATGTCCCACTCCACCATCTTAATCTCCTTGCCTTCATTTCGGGAGATATTGATTGACTCGTTTCTATAAGCAGTTATTTACAACCCTTCTCCTCCATGCGTATTCTGATCCCAGATCGTTCCGGTTATTGTGCGGCGGATTTTCCTCTCAGATTTTCCAATACGTATTTTTATAGTTATCGTTATTGTCCAGATTCGTAGCCATATTTCAGAACTGGCTTAATCATAGTATTGTATAATCTTAATTTGGGGTTTCATTACTTTTGAAAGAGAGAATGCTCTTTTTGCGCTTGCTATAACGCTGGTCTGTTTCCGACCCTTGGTTTTTCATTGTGGAGCCGAGATATTCCTTTCAATAATTTATTTTAAAATTCAATAATTTCCTTCTATGCAGATCCTATTATTGGAAATCGACTTGCTACTGCATGAAATGAGCAATTTTCAAGGGTTGT